GACTTTTTGCATCTAATTGCATTCTCTGGTGGCAATGTAAATTCTAGAATTTGCCCAGATAGAAACTGATTTAAAATGAACGAATGACCATTACATCCCACATGAACGCATTCATGATTACATGAACATGAATGTGTAAATAATCACTGTCTCACGCAATGTTGGAATGTTGATCTAACTAATGAGTATTATCATTGATCTTCTTACTTTCTTACATGTTTATTAGTTAAATGACACTAATATGGGACGTGTTGCAACACTTATTTATTTTGGCTGGTAGTGCTATTAGTTAACTGGATGTACCTCATTTTTATGGTGACCAGCTAACAAGAAATCTTGGAACTATCTCATGCAACATGAGTATATTTTCTGGTTATGCAATACCCAATGGAACTTTTATTGGCTGTGGTAACCCTTATGCAGCTTTAAAAATATATGGTTAATCTTACATGCTAGATTTTCATTAAAAATACAATTTATTACCTTCTTTTTTTATATGTCATAATAAATATACATTTTCTAAATCTTAAAGATATTTGTATTTACTATGCTTGTTGTGATTGATTCATTCCAAGATCATATTTAGATTATATGTTCTTGGTATTTAAGTTGGTGTTATTGGGAATCTGGTTCATTCATCCCCTAACATAAAGAAAGAAGTTCTTCGTGCGGGAGCTTTACAGCCAGTGATTGGTTTATTAAGGTATCACTAGAATTGTATATTGCCTTCTTGTTCATCTGGTTTAATCGTTAAACAATATCCAGGTTGTTTCATTATATGTTAGGTAATAAAGAAAATTTTGATTCCTTGGACTGTTTATAGAATGTAGCAGATAGTTTTACAAAGTTGCACACCATTCTTTTCAAGTTGGTGATTTGAAATCTATAAAAAATTTCTTTGGCTAACAATATTGTCTTTAGTGCTAGCTTAAAATCATGAGAATCTAAACATTGTTTTTTGGTTGAAGAAGAAAATGTTAAAGTTGCCTCAGAATCAAGGTTGTCAAACTCTTAATTTGGGTTGTAGGATCATGCAATCTTACAGCCCAGATCAGGCCTGACGATTTAGATCGGATCAACGTAAATGGGTGGAATCGACTCGACTTGTGAGTCGACTACGTAAGATCGGTTGACTCGGACGAGTCAAGTCGAGTTTGTCTAGTCAACCCAGGATATATGAACGCTCACCTTCAAAGGCGAATTGATATGTGGTGCCAACAAAGGAGCGAGGAGACGAGCGTGAGCCCCGATCCCTCTCAATGAGAGTGTTGCGAATCTTCTGGTTGGCTATTCATTGTCATGGATCAGTGCTTCTCTCCTGCAACCCGTAGGAGCAATGAGGAGACGAGCCTTAGCCATTGCTGCCACTCACAATGAACTGCTATCAACGTCGTCGACTGTTGCTAATCACCATATGCATGGATTCTCTTTTCCTCTCCTACCCTCTCTTTCGGTCTCTGCTTCTTTCTTCTCCTCTCATCTTCCCCCTTCTCTTCTCCTCTCCCCCCTCTTCTCTTTCATCTCCATTCTTTCTCTTCGCATCTTCTCCCCCCTCTTCTCTTTCCATCTCCTTTCCTTCTCTTCACATCTTCTCTCATCTCTTCTCCTCTCCTCCCTTCTACCTCTCTTCATGTCTCCCCTCCTACCTTCTCCCATCTACCATCCTTTTTCCTCTCTTCTCATCTTATACATTCTCTTCCCATCCATCCCCTATCTAATGATATTTGTTATAGTTTGATCATAATGACACTGATACCATGAGGTATTATCTTTAATATAATTGAAAAGTACAATTCATAATTCTTGGATTGAAGTTCTACAAAGCAATAATAATGTTCGTGTAACATAGAGGTTGCAAAATTATATCTTATATGCCAAACACAATATTCCTTTACATAATAGGAAAGTCATACTTATAAGAAATTAAGAATTTAGAAATTGTTTGGATATGCAACAAGGGCAATTTACATACCCATTTATCATTGTTAGTTATGGTGATATATGTAACCAATCGTTTATATGTAACCATACTTATGTAACTAATCTTTGCTAAACAATGTTAAGATGTTCCTGTATGGAATACACTCATTTATAAATTTCTTTAAATATATGTATGTATCTTAAAATTATTTATTTTTATTTTTTATAATTTGTAGGATCTTATGATCCTATCCTATGATTCCAAGTTTGCAACCCCTGTTTGATCCTAGGTAGGGAAGTGAGTTTGATTACCTTGCTTTGAACCATAAAGCAATTTTGTCAAATCCCTTTTGTACCAAGGAATGGTAGACTTGTATGAAAACACAGTTTTCTTTTCACATGACCAAGCGATGAGTTTGAAAGCAAAACATTACAAATTTTAGTCACACTAAGCTCTTCTATGAAGAATTTAAATACATGGTTCAAAATGATCTTATTCAGTCTCATATTGAAACATGTAAATAATCATATAAAAGAAAAGAAAAGAATAAACTTGGAAACATGAATGACCATGTTGCAACCTTGTCACACTAAGCTCTTCTATATGACTATCATCTGCACCTTGGTTTGTGTTCGTGCTTGGTTCGATTGAATTGGCAAATTGGTTCAATCGAACCAACTAAAGAGAAGAGCTCTAACACTGAATGATCCCCCCCCCCTCCCTCTCTCTCTCGTACAACTTGATCCTGCTTCGAAACCCTACATTCGATGTCGTTGCCTTTGTTTGCAGCTCCCTCCATCATTGTTGCCTTCGTGCTATCTCCCTCCACCGTTGAAGTCATTGCTATATATAAAATATATTTTTTATATTTTAATATTTTGGAGTGTCTCGCATTGCTCGAGTGCGCGTTTAGGCGAGCGCCTAGCACCTTAAGTGATTTGGGACCTTGGTTCATTTTGGCGCTTAGTGCTTTTAAAATCATTGAGAACAATAACAATCAACAATTGTGGAAACATACATAACTTAAAGCATAAATGGTTCTTTCCTCCTAATAACAGAAGTTACTGAAACTCATTAGACTGAACTATCAACTTGCTTATAAAGGTGTAAAAGCCAAACTTTGGCTTCAAAGTTTAAAGTGGTAAGATATGTTGTAAGAAGTTTATGAAGATGATGAAACAGAGATCTGTGTGCTTGATAGAGACTCTTATTTGCATTGTCTAGATCTTATCCATCATCAAGTATTTTCGGTTGGTTAGGCAATTTTCTGAAAATTCACTTAGATTACGCAACTTTTTTTCTCATTCTAGCATGGTTATGTAGTTATCCGTGTTTTTAACTGGATCAGGAAATGATGGTGGTACATAACTTGAATGTTCTGAATTTAATCATACCAATCCCCATTATATTACCCAAAAGCCAATCCCAATCCTGAAGCTGATCTTGCAAGGTCTTAGCTGACAAAGCATGTGGTTATTTGCTGAATCACACCTGTCAGAAAAGTGTAAAAATGTTTTCATACATAAAATATGTTCAAACTTACCTAGTTTAATACCTAACCAGCTAGCCTGGTAGTGTGTAGTGAGTCATTTTCCCATAGGCCGAGGGTTCAAACCCTTGCCATAGTAACTTCTATCAGTTCTATACG